TGGGCTCTATTGGACGGGGGGTTTGGATGGGCCTACCTTTGTGTTAACTCTGTTCCAAAAAAAAATTCTGGATGTATCACTCAAAAAGAAAAAAAAAGAAAAAACTATGATGTTTGTAGTAGTTCTCAACTTCTCATAGAAGGAAAAAAAAGGTTATGATGTTTGTACTTTTTCTGCGCAATGATAGGTTGTGATAGCAAAGAATCGCTCATGTTACTTTGTTTCGCCGAATCTCACTGTCGTCCAAATGATGATTTGAAAGGCAAGGCAATCAATCAGAAACTTGTGATAGCAAAGGATCGTTCCTGTTAAACTTCCATCAGAAACAATGTTGAGGCAGCGATGTCTATTTTTTGGAACAAACCGATAATGGAAAGAGCAAAACTCAACACCGATGGCTCATACATGGAGTGCAAAGGGGGTACGGGCATGATTCTCAGTTATTCTAAAGGCTCGATTATTTTTAGCTCTTGAGGACATATTTACACTTGCAAATACTCTCGAAGCCGAACTGTCAGCTATAAAAGAGGGAATTCCATTAGCACTTCAACGGAGCAATTTACTCATTGATGTTGAATTTGGATCGTCTGGAGGAAGTCTCATTGATCGACTATAAAGGGTTTCCCCCCACTTTATATTATAAATCCACAATCCCAACATACAACAGGCATACAACTAAAAAAAGAAAAGAGCAAGAATGGTAAAGGTACAAGACAGAGCCACTAACAAGCGCAAGCCTGAGAATTGAGGCCCTCGGCGAACACAATCCTGCACACGACACGACGAAGACAGGGTAGTGACCCGCTCCCGGAGGAGGCCACACGCTGTCAACTCCACTGATGCCAACCATAGTCGATCCACCATCCCTCTCTACCTCCGAAGAAGGCCCCTACCCTCTCGCCTCGGACCGTAGGATGCCACGCAGTCGGCAGGTAGAGCCACTCACCGTCGAGCTCGTATGGCCAGAACCAAGTGGATGCTAGGGAGAGGACGACAAGCATGGTCACCTCACCTTGCACTGCCACACCCCATACATCGCCACCACCGCAGCCCGAACCAACGTCAACCATAAGCAGCCAAGCAGGAACATCATTGAAGAAGATAGCCCACCTCCTGCACCAAAGCCTCGACCACCCTTCCGCTGACCAAAGGTGGCGCCTTTCAAGAAGAAGAATGACATGGCGCGCCAGCACCACCCAATTGGAGAGTTTGGGCTTTCACCTAGGCCGTGGAGGTAGAGGGTAATTAAGGGAAGGACCTCGATGCCGCCACTAGATGAGAATGACACGGAGCGCCGCCGGCATCGTGGCCACACAGCAGCTGGCCAAGGGTTTCCCCGGGTCCATATACCCACCATATCCTCCATCCCCAACCGACCGCCTGAACTGGGCAGCGCAGACCGGCGAGGCAGGAAGAAGCGCAAAGGAGGAGGCCACCACTTCCAGATCTGCTCCAAGAGGTCAACGGGGAGACCCCAAGAGCCAGCTCCATGCTCCAAAAATGTTAAACATATATCAAATAAATGTTTAAAATTTATATGCAAAATGTTGATACCTTACAAAAAAATATTTGTGACATTCTAAAAATGTTCACGTATTTCAAAAAATGCGTATCAAATAAAAAAATGTTCAGTCTTTCAGATGCATATGAAATATCTACAAAGTTTACGAAAAAATTAGACATCAAAGTTGTATTTGAAAGAACTAGTAATCATTGTATTTAAAAATGCTAAACATGTATTAAAAAAAGTTAAATTGTATAAAAAAATTCTTGATGTATATAAAAAATGTAGACATCAAAAAATTTATTTGAAAAAATGTTAATTGTGTATTTTAAAAATGTTTAACATGTAGGAAAAAATATGTACATGAAAAATGAACATAGAAAACCGAGGGAAAACGATACAAACAAAACATAGAAAACAAAAAAGACAATTAAAAAGGTTCTAAACCGATGGAAATCATAAAGAACATAAAGAAAACAGATAAAAAGAAAAAAAACCAAAGATGACCGGTGAAAAGGAAGGATAAATTAAGAAAACCAAAGAGCTCCAAACTAAACTAATACTCTACGAAGTTGAAAGGAGTTCATCTCTACTTCTCAAACGGAGATAAAGATGGTGATATGGTGATATGAGTAGTAAACCTTGCATCGATGTATACTTTTGGACTTGTTTAATTTTGGCGCACGTACTCTACTGATTAAGCTCGACTTGATGCGACTTGATTGGGAAATCGGTGCGAGCAGTTGCTTTTATTGCCAGTACCTCAGCAGCACAACATCGCATTTATCTTCAAATATTAAACATGCAGCATTAAAACATATGGAATTTCTGGCTTCAAGTTTTGAAATCTACCTACTGTAGCTTCTTTACACAATGGGAAAGCATGGATGGAGATCAGAACAGCATTGCATGGAGCACATGATTTCAGTTGATTTCAGAACAGCAATCAAACTCCAGGATTCCTACTACTCCTCGCCTATTTATCCGAACAGAACACCATTGATAATACGCAAACCTTAATTTGCCGGTGAGGCCTGCCTGATGGCCACCGCGACGATGAAACACAGGGAATCAGAAATGTAAAAGAAAGGCACCGGAGATGATCACACAAGTGGAACGCATTGTTAGTCATACGTAACGAGTACATACATATATTATATATTCCAATTTAAATAATCTCAAGTTCGAAATAATTCATCTTTGCTTCTCGGGCAGAGAAAAAGATGGGTATTAATACCTGCAGCTGCAGGCTGCTTATGAGCAGGTAACAATCTCGATTTCAATTTGAAAATACCCACTAAAAAAGATACACACAACAGCTGATATCATAAAAAAAAAATCTCACAACTGTGTGTGTATGATTTTGCAGTAGGCACTAAAAATATCAACAGCAGCTGATATCATAAAAGGATTCAGGCAGTATGCATCTTAGGCGGAAAAAAAATTATGTGTCTAAATAGCTGTTATGCTCTACTACGCAAGGAGGCTCGGATCTAAATAAATGAATCAAGTCACTGATCCAATAAAATTTTGTATATCAGTAGTAACTTATACGGAATGCTATTTTTTTTTAAGAAATCAAGAAATATGCATGGTATGTGAAGGATCAGCGAATCTCAGTACAATTTCAGTAGGCTGGAGCTTGGCTTCAAATTTCGACACTGAATAATGTCTATTTAAGTTAAGGCACTCTTCAAGTTTCGACACCACCAATTAAAATTTAAATGAAGCGTGGAACTTCATTAAATAATGTCTATTTAAGTTATTATAAGGCACTCTCCAAGTTCATGTGCAATGTTATCTATACCCAGGTCATGCAAATAGAAAAACTATGCTCTTTAAATCTGTTGTGACCATTACCTACATAGCGACTTCACTGTGGCAGCAATGAAAACAGTACTCTTGTATGTATATATGCACCCCCGATGAACCTGTATGGAAACAAGAGAAAATACGAGGGGCAACGACAAGGAAAGCTGTTACCAGATCATAAACAGCGGCAATCTGACAACCAAAGCACAAGAACGCCAATACAAGGAAGCACTTACAAAAAATCTGCAAACAAGATGACAAGTAGATAGGTACAGGCACACAGTTTGTTTTTGTTAGACACCGCTCCGGCTCACCCACCGGCCACCGCTGAGGGGGTGACCAAACTCAATCCCAGGGTGACGTCGCACGGCAGAAGGTGGCAACTCGTCCCGCAATACCCAATGTGTCTGTCATCAACTTCAGCTCCAGACAGTGGCGGAGCCAGGAAATGTGGATCAGGGGGGCCAAGTGTCGTCAAAGTAGGTTAAGGAGGGCCAAAGAATAGAAAAATAGACTTTTAGCATCAAAATATGTCTAATTGTGCACTGTT